CACTCGGTCGGATTTCCAATCTGCCCGTAGGATAGTTGACATCTAGTCTTTCTTTCTTTTCACACCATAGATGTAACCGGTTAAGATTTTCTCGACCGGCCCGGTAAACGGTCGAAAAATTTCTGACCGGGCCGGGCCAGCCGGGCGGTTGGCTGGTCATATATTTTCGTTTGGGCAGTTGAAACATTTTCTGACACCATCCCGAAGTCTGTATCATTAGAATTGCAGACGAAATCTGGGATGCACGGACACCTACTTTTTGATCCGTAATGTTAAGATAACTCTTGGAAATTTTTCCAGATCAAATTTTACTATGAACTGTCCAAGGTCAGATATACCTTCAGTGAACTGTCAATCTTTAAAACTATTTAAAAAACTACTGTATCAACATTTAGAACATACTGTTAATTGATTGTACTTTACTGTGTCTGTGTTCATCATTTTTCTGTTTTCCAGCTTTTATATCTGTGTGTTTTTTGTTTTTTTTTCTTTGTTGATTGACTTTGCGTTAGACAGGGCAGGATTCAATAGGGTTACATTATACTTCTATTGACTAGCTTTTTAGCTATTTTTTTCATGTCCTTCCATTTTTGGTAAATAAAGTTCAACTTCAAGTTCAAGAAAGTTCATTACTGTGCTCTCTCACCAACCGGAATTACCACCACTATTATATTATTGTATTGAAAAATAAAAAATATAAAAATAAATTCTTCTATCTTTTCATCATCATCATTGTGATTCATTCATTATAATTAAATTAAATCCATTGATTAAATTAATTAAATTAATTAAAGTAATTAAAGTAATTAATTAATTAAAGACGAAGAAGAGCAAAAGAAAACGGAAAAAAGGAAATGACAGCAGCTGGAGAACATTATGATCAATTAATTGACGATGACGTTCAAAAGATGGTGATATTAGAATATAGTTGAAGAGAACCAAACTCACCCCAAACTCGTTTTTGCTTATGAAAACATAGCCTCAGATCTTGGCTAGCGAACGATGAAAACCGCAAGTCTCTATCTTTTCTTCCTCTTGAGTTATTCAAAAAATAATCACCGGCCTTGTATTTTAGCGCCGATAATAGTGCAACAAACATTAAAAAAAAGAAAAACGAACGGAATATTCACATAGTAGAGATTACCAGCCCTGCTCTCAAAGACTGTTGACAAAAAAGAGATACCAAACTAACTTTCTTAATCTGAAATATGAAAAGCTTTGTCTTACTTAGCTCAGCAAATTCGTTTTCGACAAAGTACTGATTTTTCAGACAAAAAAACGTTTTTTTTCTATACCGGCCAGTCAAAAATTTCTGGCTAGACCGATCGGTCGCCGGTCCCGGTTACATCTCTGTTCCACACTGTGTTTTCTCTTTTGAGTCAGACATTCTTTCTAGGTTATCTCTGATCGTCTCTGATTCATTATCATATCATACATTCTGCTATAACTTCCATCATATCCAACACTGTAGTATTTTGAAATGCGATAGTAGTTTTTTTGTATAGAGGGATAAAGCCAAGTATCGTACTCCATTAGAACCGTCGAAACACGAGCTTTAACAGTACCTTTATACTTTTTTTAGACTTTTCTTCATCCTTGAGTCAAATGACATCTGTTTTATAGAAAAATATTTTTCATCAAACACACATCCTGGGGCACCACGGGTAAAACGTTTGGAAAAAAGAACTGAGGGGTAGTACAGATGTGTTTTTGATGAAAATTATTTTTCAGTATAGATTTCGAGTATTTAGTAGTTATTCAACAAGCTAGCTCAGGAATCAACAAGCTTTCTACAGTTGAGAGAAAGTTGTCTGAAATCACAAATAACAGCGAGAAATCTTATCAACAAGGATAATCTTTCGAATTTGCTCAAAAAAGACCTGATTTTCAGGCATTTACAAAACGTTCGAGCCACAATACTGGTTTAGCACGTTAGTAGAATTATTCGTAATGGCAAGGCAGCTAGGCGTTCCTAAATAACTTTGTAGTTTTTCGGCAGCAGATAGTCGTTGGCCAGAACTATTACAATGTGTTGCGAAACATCATCATATGCCCCTGATCGTAAGTGTGAGCCTCTCTATGTATATGCTAGAAAACACAAGTTACTGCTAGATAATGCAAATGATGTAGATCAGAATCTTCTGATGATGTAGATACAACTCTACAAATCAAAAGATTCTGATCTGCTCAATTTGTAGTGCTCATCAAGGTACCGATTTCACTAAAGTTTTCACAATTATCAAACACGTTTCATCTGAATTTTAAAAAACTTGTTTTCTGAATTAAAGGCAAAATTCAACCTTTCCTTCAACAAAATCTTGAAAACTCAGCTGAAATGTGTTTGATAATTGTGAATACTTTAGTGAAATCGGTACCTTGATGAGCACTACAAATTGAGCAGATCAGAATCTTCTGATTTGTAGAGTTGTAATGGACTTCTTGCGGCTGGCATTTCGTGGAATTAGGCAGGAAGAGCCTGCTGGACGAAACAGATATCAGATAATCAAACGTAACCTCTATACTGTAAGGTTGGAAATTATTTATGGAAAAGGCTCGCCGAATTTCAAAGAGTACCTATGGGAATTTCTCAAGGATTTTCCAGTTTACAGAAAATCGAATTTCCAACAATCTAAAAAATCGTCCTGGAATTTCCATAAATAATTTCCAAGAATATGGAATTCCACCTTGCTTTTCCAGTTTGTTAGAAAATCGCCGTTGAATTTCCATAAATAATTTTCAAGAAAGTAGAAATTCCTTTTTGATTTTCTATAAACTGAAAATTCCTTGGCGGGTCGCTGGGGATTTTATAGTTCATAGAAAATCGACTTAAATTTACATAAATTCGATTTTCTGTAAAGGGAAAAATCGCTGAGGATTTTCTATAAATAATTTATTATGCTGATTGATTATGCTATCAATAGTTTCTTGCTGCCATATCGGGTCTTCCAACAGATCTTCTTTTTCTACGATCTTGCTACCGTACTGAGATATTTACTATTATATACGATTTTTATGAATATCTTGATTACGATGCAAAAAGTGCTAATCTACGATTGAAGCTTTCTGAAGCTTTCATTCTAACACAATAGAAGCGCAGGAAATAACAGACTTTCGATTTTTCATCAGTCTACACACTAGACGTTTGTGATAAATGTTAAAGTCTCGCCCTTTTGTTCGCTTCTGTTTTTTCGTATCAAGAGAAGCTAAACTGAAAACGACGTCGACACCATCAATATCTAGATGTAGGTAACTCTTGACCGTTCTTTTGACAGAGAAAACATAGTTAGCGACACATATCATAGTGGGACGCCGTATACCGATAGTGTTCAAATAAAGCGCAGTGACTTTAAAAACGAAATGGAGGAACTAAGTAGCATCAACATTGATTCCGGAGCTGTTTTGTGTTAAAAACATCGTAGACACTATAGATTATTTTGCTCCATGAATGTATTGCTGACATATTTCACCAATGAGAATGATATTTTGTTGAGACGTCTATTCTCTTTCTCTGTCGATAGTTCCATAATGACAAGGTTCACGATCAAAGATGTTAAGTGTTACAGAGATTTACGATTATCGTTTTTTCAAGCACGAAAAACAGTACCGCACAGTGAGCTATATATATTCGAGTACGTTTTTTGTGGTATGTAGCGGTTTATTCACATCCGGCGCTCTCGTTATTCCATTTGAAAAGGAATTTTCACCTACAGTTCTGATAATCTGCAGATCATCTCCCATTAACATTCTTGAGTTCGTAAACTTAACCACTGACTTAAGTCAGTGCTCACTTTGTTTTAATGTGTCGTTTCTGAGCATTGATTTAGGACAACTCCAAGAATGTTCTAAGTTGATATTTTAACTCAGGTTCATGTTGCATGAAGTGAAGTTAAACTTAAGTTGATACTTAGGACTTTACTTTTTATGAAATACAAAGAATGAAGTCAACCCTTGACTAGGGTTAGTCGACTCTTACGTTAAAGGTACTGCGTTACAGTTAGAGACGCTACTGTTAGCTAAAAATGTTGATGAAACGATTCCTTGCATCGTCGTTTACAGTTTTCTCAATTTCGGCAAGGCTAACTATAAAAGATTTTGTATGAATAGGTTAATTAATTTTATTTAATTATGCTCTATCTGCCTTTTTAAGTTGGCTGTTCACATACTGGAAAAAATCGCTTTCTTTTTCCAGTTAAATAAGTAGTTTTTTCATAATGTATTTTTTCTTTTATATGAAGAAAAAGAAAAACAGAAAAAAATTACCGTTATTTTACATTTGTCACACTATTCACTTCGTCTGTATGAGCTCATCGCTTATAGCCGGATAAGCACTCGAAAAACTCAAGTAATGTTTAATTGTGTCATATTGTTTTTCACTTCACTTTCGAGCAGCGTAAATGTCGACATTATTTTTTTGACAACTGCTGTTTTGAAAAAAATTTAAATCAACCACTCAAGTGCTTTGGCGAGTACTCATGCATCAGAAATACTCCCGACTACAAGTACCACAATAAAGCACTTGAATGTTTTCTAGAGTGTTGACTAGAGACCTAGGTTCATTTAAAATAAACTTATGGCGAACATTGACTTTAGACATGAAGGAAAGAATCCCAAGAGTCAATATTATTGAACGACACATTACTGTAAGAAGTCTTAACTTTGACGAATTTAGCATTTTTGATAATATGATCCGTAAGCTCAAGGTGTTTCGAACTTCAGTTTCTTATTTTTATGTAAGTCTCTTCAATGTCATCCATTCAGTAAAAGCCAACGCGGACGAAAAAAGTTGACTGACTGTACCGGAATTTTTTGCTATTCTTACTTTCTAATACTTTCGGTTATGATATTTTCTGTTGCTGAATGCTAGATTAAAAATTAAAACCAAGTCGTAATAGTTGCACGTGATAAAAGCTGCCATACTAACAGTTCAGATCCACACTTGATTTTTGGTAACAAACTTTTCTTTCAGATCTAAGTAAAACGTTTCTATTTTCCTTGAAATGATGCAACGCAACGTTTTGCGACAGAACAATAACAACTCTTTAGCGTCAACTACAACCACAACAACAACGGAAAATACACGTCGAAAACGAACTCGATCGACACATACTAATGAAAGTGATGGACAAAGTCTATCACCGACATCAAATCTCCCCGCTGTTACCAAACGACAAAGAAATGCTGGTGTTTCCACTGTAGCATCGCGAAATCCTAGTCGTCCAGTTTCACAATATCGTTTTCGTAATCGTTCCCAAACAGTAACTCGCTCGTCAACACCAGATCCACGACAACGATTGACGTCTCGAAGAAGACAAAATCAAAATGCGATTGTTAATCATCTGACAACGTCAAGCTCAATAACAACAACAACAACAACGACACTTAGAGGAGCTGATAATCATGCACAGCATTTAAATTCGGATCAGCTATTGCCACCTATTAATGATTCAAATCGAACACGGTATAATCTTCGTCCTCGTACTCAATGTCAACAACAGCAAGTACAAGCGCCGCCGATTAGACCATCCTCTGTAGCCCTAAGAGCGCGACCGTCGGCAACTACACGTACAAACGTGACGAGAACACGTGAAGAAAATCCGTCCACGAATAGTTCAGCTTCTGCTCTACAGTCACTTCCGGTGAGTTCTACTATTGAGCCTATGACGATGGCATTAGACCCTGATTTATCACAGATTCCTAGTCCTCACGAATCTGAACGAAGTAGAACAACAACAACTGTACCACTTGCCCTTCCTACTATATCACGTCCAGCAACACGACAATATCGTTTTATTTATTTAAATGATTCAGACAATGACGAGACCCTACCGGTGCCGTCATCGATAAATGCTGATAATTCTTCAATTATTGTATCAAATAATGATGAATTACCAAGAACAACAACCACAAGATCTCGAATAACATCATCATCGACGAATGCAACCACAAGGTGAGTACTAATGTTACAAAATTTGTAGTATTGTACATTGTTAATGCGTTTATTTAGAACAAGAAATAATGACGCAACATCACCAACAAATGAAACTAGTAATTATGATAGTAGTATTGCACGTGTCAGATTGAATCGAGTGAGTAAATTAATGCGATTATTTACTTTTTTTGTGTATATATTATTTCAATTTGTAGGCGATTGAAATCGTTATTGATTCTATTCAGTCGTTAGAAGGCGCTGTAAATAATTTTGATCAACTGGTATTTGGATTAATCTATAGTCGAATTGGATCGAATAATTTCGACGGAATTGAAGTACGATCTTTGATATTAGCCAAGAACAGACAACTTCATTTCTTTGTTCTATTTCAGGGAATGATACGTTTGAGTCGTATATTAAACTTACCCACACGTCTTACTCAAACGGAAATTGATTCATTACCAAAAATTGTTTTTGTTAATAAAATACCAACATCACTGAGAAATGATAATGAAAAAGAGAAATGTCCCGTGTGTTTAACAGAATTCGATGATGGTGAAACAATTAACAAATTACGTTGTTCTCATATGTTTCATTTGAATTGTGTATCGAGATGGCTTAGTGTAAGTTTCTTGTTTGTACTAAGGTATCTGTAGGACTCTAAACTTCGAAGCAAAGTTTAACATTACTACAAAAATTTACGGCTTCTATGAGAAAGTCTTAGAGCCAGACCAGTTGTTGTTTTGATTGAAACACAAACACAAATAATCTATGCTATTTCAGTTTGCAGAAAGATCGTTTAGTTCCCTTTCCACTGCCGATATCTTGCAGCAATTTTATTGTTTAAAGTTGATTTTTGTATATTCTCATTTCCTGTCAAAAATGAACATATTATTATCAGCGTATTTCTAATTCATCAATATGAGTTACTAATATTGTATGGTAAAATGTCTAGTGCGAAGATGGAATAATTTTAGTGTGCGAGGGCGCTGCTAGTAGGTTCTATTTAAATGTGGTATCACCATTTATTCAATGAAAGAAAAATCTTTAAGTCCTAATTTTCATATTCTTTTTTGAAAAGAAATCATTGATTTGCAATTGTTTCGTCTTTTAACATGAATATTTTGACATCTGCTGTAAAAAGAATTTCTTGAACATGGGTCTATTTTTGTTGATTTTGTTGGCTTTGATTTTCCCTATTTAATTGGTGCATCCTAAAACCGATAAACAATTCATTTTTTTCTTTTAAAATTTTATCTTTTTTAAATAATATTTTGAAAATAAGTATTTGAATGAACCAAAAGACTTTTTAACTTCAGTTTCAAAGTATCCAAATCCAATACTTTAGTCGGCTGAAAACGACTGCTTATGCACAATATATTTGGATCTATTTTACGGACAGTCTATTTGAAACAAATAAACTTATTAAATTCTGATAGTTTGATAAACGTAAGTTGGTGAGGTATAAAGCATCTTACAGGTTCTAAGTATTCTCATTTGAAAAACACCCTTTCCTTAATGAGTAAACGGTCCGATCCACACAAGAGAAGTTTCTGCTTGTATGGCTAAAACAAAGTGCCGACTGTCCTGAATACGGAGTGCTCTCATAAGTAGTAGCAATTAGAAACACTGGCTAAAAAAGCGAATACAAAAGAAACGACTTTACTAGAGGGGAATCATCAGCAATAACATTCGGCGATGTCTCGCAGTTACATTATTTATTTATAAGTTTACTATAAAATAATATAAGATAAAATAAATATAATATAGCTGCATGTATTAAAAGGTCAGATAGCAATGCTACTCAACGCTTTCGCCATCTTTTAATATTTGATGTCTCCATCGGAAGAATTTGACATATCAGTCGTCATTTGATTTAGTCAAAAAGTGGCATAACTGAGTCTGATGAGACCAGTCTAACGTCAACATGAAGCGTTCAGCTTATTTTAGGACTGCAATAAGTCTAATTTTTGCTAATGTAATTGATGAAAGCTTATGATGGAAGTAGGACGACGGTAGCATTTTTTAAACTGTAGAATTTTGTTTAATATATATGAAGAGACATTTGGAGTAAAAATTCAAAAGGGGGTATAAAAACTAACTGTTTGCTGATGAACAATGAACGATCACATTTCCGCTTTCACATGGTCATGCATCAGCTCATCATATATGCATGAGTCAAGATATGAATAAACGAACGTGGTTCGTGATGATTATGTTAGAACCTAATTAACTCACACCATTTACTTGTATTTTTAGGAAAACGATACATGCCCAACATGCCGGCGGAAAGTGAATAGTGAATAAATAACCATCCTTAACTTATAATCAACGCATTATTTCTATTTTATTGGACGATAGACAAATAATATGTTACAACAAAGATAACGGAAAAGATAAATGTCTCGATTTTTATTTTATTCATAAATCGTGACATATGAATATTTCTCAAATCTTTCTTCTCTTATAAAAGTAACCAAACAATGCTGATAAACATAGTTTCTCTTTATTTTAACTTATTTTTTTTCTTCACTGTGTACTTACTTTCTAATCAAACATAAAAACCTGAGATTTTTTTCTTCTTGTATACTGTTGTAAATTCTGTTAGATAGGGGAGAGGAATAAATAGTGGAACATGAAATATTTTCAAGAAGTCCATACATTTCACCAGAGAGAAGCGTGTGTTGTTCTCTCTCTGTTTGTGCCATTTTTATGTACACTGCTCAGTGTTTTTGTTCTATCATTAAACACGCTGTATAAGCTATTGTGTGTCTTGTAGTCTCAAATGAAGTTGATAAACGTCTTTTTTCTTCTCAATTGTATAATAGTAGTTGTTTGCATTTTGCTTTCATTTTCTAAAATCTCTAGCTCAGCCCGGTGAGAAAACATTTTAAAACTTCGTTTCCTTTACTCATTATACTTATTCTCTTGTTTTTTTTTTGTTTGTTTCCATCGTCGATAATTGAACATATTTTTATATATTTGCGTGTATATAAACACGACATCCAAATTATTATCTAGATTTATTTCACACAACATAAATCAGCGATTATTTTACCACATTATAGCAGTAGTTTAAAACGTTGAAGAAAACATTATATCCTAACCATTTACCTTTTTCTAAGATCTATTCATATTTGCTTATGTGTAACATGTTATGCAAAATACTTACCATTTTTGTGTGTATTTGTGTGGTTTTTTTTATTCATCGATAGTGGTAAAAATTTAAAAAAGAATAAAAACATATTCTGCATAACTATCAAAAGGACAAGAATATCCCCATAAATTTAGTTACATTACATTAGATAAGTCTGTTTAGATGAAATACGAATGTTAAGGCTTTAAATCATAGAGGCTGACAGTGTTCAATTTTTGAATATCTACGTTATTGAGTTTTGGTGAGCAATAGCAATTAGAAGTACCAAAAATTCGCTTCAAGTTTTCAAGACTAGCATCAATGGAATCAAATTATTCACTCAAAAATCACTGAAATGAACAAATTTCTCAAACTTTATATTTTAACGACATTTAGAGAAAATGTTTTCAAAAAACTTCAGAAATTTCCTGTATTATGAAAACAATATGGATTATGAGAGCAGATATTGTAGGCGCTCTTCACATGCTCATCTAAATATCGACTTTTTATCAATATTTGGCATACCTGACACAATAGAACTTTAATCTTATCAAAAATTTGATGAAACAAAACCTAACATACAGAATGTCGTAAAAAGGTATATATAACAATGAATACGAAAAAAATTCAACAGAACGTTTACACATTATATTCAATTTGAGCTATATATCTCTCAAACCTCTGACTAACGTTACATTGATGAGTGAACCTAATGCGTATTTCAAGAAGGAAATTATCTAAGATTGAAAATTTGTTGATAAAAAGAGAGACATGTTATGTTAATAAATTCAATTTTCTACTCTGAATATTTAAGAGTAGTATATAAGATACCTCCTTTCAACGATTTGATAGATGTACACCGTTCTACCATAATAATAATAATATTAATGATAATATAAAATTCATTCGTTCTAGTATCAATAAATGTTGCTTGTTTCCTTTTTTTTAGTGATTTTTAATGCATTGTATCTATGAGAACGTTGAAATGATTTATTCATCTATTGTGATATTTATCACAACTTTTTTCTTTGGTTGTAAATAACTTCACAATAGTATTATTGACAAATGGTTTAGTTAATCATACGTTCTTTCGTGTGCATGCACATCAAAATATTTAATATAACTTAAGTCTTTTTTTTATGTTATCTCTGAGTTCTCTTCATGTTTTAACTAAAAATATTATACTCAATAGGAAAAAGTAGTAAGACAAGTTTTATTAACAATTAAGGAACTTTATTTTCACTAAAGAGTTATAAAAAAGGAACAGATTTGCAGATCAATTCAAGGTGTATTAAATGAGAGAATCTTTACTCGTAACACGTTCTTAAGAGAAAAACATCATATGTAAAGCAAATTGATAGATATGAAGACCGTTTTTAAGTTCGACAGGTGAAATTTTACTTCATTATATTACAGAGATACAGAACAATGTACTCATCGAACTTCAAAGATTTTCACGAACGATAAAAATTTGATAAATTGTTTTGTCTATCTGCTCACGTAATTTGTCTCAGAAAGTTTTTTAACATGCGTCCGATAGATACTGAATAAATTCAAGAGTAGCAATGAAAGTAGTAAAATAGTAGAAAATCAAATAATTTTACACTTACAAGTTTTTGGAAATTCTTGTCAGAAAAATTTCACTTCTCATTAGGTTCATTTTCAACTTGTTACTTATAATTCTGACACCTAGAGGAGAAAACATCGATTCTGGTGATTTCAGACTGTAACCCAAATCAATAGTAATCCAAAACTTTGTTCGAGAAGTAATATTCCAATAAAATCTCTTTTTCTCTTTACGAAACGTTTTGGCTTTGTTTGCTTTTGTTACTCATACAAAGTGCATATTTACCTTCAACTTCGGCAGAGCTTAGAACTAGGAAAGGAAGTAATAAGATTACTTTCATGTAGAAGTTTGCTCAAATTAAGAGTTTTCGTATGAGTGAAGCTTCTGAGCTAAACATACGAGGAAACATATTTGAGTGTCCCCCATAGGAACCAGATGAGAAGTAGCTTATCTTGTAGAGAATTTGACACTGATTACGAATATGAACATCTTAGCTTCCTTCGTTGTGGTCTCAATAAAATAGAGGACACAATTTGTTTTACCTGAGCTCCATTTGAAAAACTCAGACTTGGACTTCCCCTCGAAGTGACCCGTCCACCGCTCTGTACATGTACAATATTCTGAAATAAGTCTTATAACTCAACTTTAGACACTGAGAACAACTATAGAATTAGATTCTGGTATTTTACGCCTTTAGCCGAGATTAGGTCGGCAATGGACTTCCGTGTTATGTCTCAATGATACATAACTGTATCGTATCTACCACTTCGCACAGACGAAAAATCCAGAATGTAAACAGATATTAATTTTATCGAATTCAGAAAGACAAATATACTCAAATGTATACTTAAGTTGCAAAAACATGTTTCAATGTAGTTGTTTATCATAGGTATCAGATATCAGGTATTGAACACTTCTAAACTAGTTTAGTAGGTGTAGTTTTATGCGTAGATTATAAATATGGTATTGGTTTTGATTAGAAGCGGAAAATAAGTGAAAATTAGTTTGTATTGACGTTAGGTCAAAAAAGTTGCAACCAAAAGAAAGAAAACACAACTTTTCAAAACAAAACAAAACTTTTTTTTATGAGTGAAAAGTTTCAACGTATTTTATATGAAATCTATATTTCACAATCTCTGATAGTTTTCAAGTACGAAACTGGAATGGTATTCTTTGTAATAAAAGCGAAAACAAGCTGTTTTGACTGAAATCGCCTGTTTTCCAGCAAAACTAATCAACTATGAAAGTTTGTATTTTTAAACAGAGTGGTTTTTCTCAAACTGAAAAAACATAATCGGTGTGGTTTTTCATTGTACATCTCTCGTTTTGAGTT